TCTAATGTGTGTTTTGGCCATGTAATGTTGCTGAAATTAAATATATTATTACCTCTGAGTCAGAATTGCGATCATGGAAGAGAGAACACAAGCAGACAGCGCTGGAAGCCGCTAATGCTCATCAGTAGAATATAATCAGTAGAAAATAAATAGATAAATAGAAAATAAATAAATTCTGTCTGAGCTATGCATTTTAAAATGAACACGCACTAGTGTAAATGTAGCCTAAAATATGTGTAGACTGAAGACTATTTGAGCTTTATTAAAACCCTATTTTGCACTGATTTATTGTGTTGGTTACATTTTGTTCCTTTGTGCAGTGGCTCAGGAGATGAGCCTTTGAGTTTGTATAAACATCAACAAGCTGAAAAATAAAACCAAAGTTTTTTTTTTTAGATAATGTAATCTTGTTAAAATTGATTTCATAAAATTGGTATCGAAAAAAGTATCGTTTGGGAACCGGTATCGAAGTCAAGGTATCAGTATCGAAAAAATTTTAACGATACCCAGCCCTAAGTAGAAGTCATTATAACCAGTAATGATGTCCCCACTGGATGCAACAAATGCCTCATTTGTAATGGTTTTATTGGTTTTGTCTCGCCATGCCGGGAGACACAGCATCACAGTATGGTGAGGGGCGTAACATTTCAGTCACACGCTTGAGGTATTCAGCCAATCACAACGCACTGGATCGATCCAATGAGACGATGAGCTTTGTAAAAATCTACTCGTTTCAGAAAGGCGGGGCATAGAGAAACAATAATGTACAGTATGTGGAAAATAATGTGTTTTCTGAACCTTAAACCGCATAAACGTTGCATTACACCAAATACATAAAATGATGTTATTTTTAGCAACGTCATATGACCCCTTTAATCAAGCAACAACAGACAGAAAATCACTCACTGCTTTTGACTGAAAAACTTTAGTAGCCCTAAAGATGAATCTAAATGTATTTATAGAAATAAATGTGTCTGCTTGAAAGAATGAAGAATATGGTAAACAAGTTGCTATAAAGAATGCATAATTATAACAACATTGGTATTTAATTAAAAAGAAGACCATGTTCTTGTTCTTTATGAGTGGTCTTATTTAATTTAAACAAAGGCATGTTGTGTGTCACCAGTTAAATTGGTGTATCATGATAAAACCTTAATATCAAACCTATATAAGGAGTTAGGAAATTTTAGAGAAATACTTAATAAATGCACTGTAACTAAACCCATTCGATTTTAGCCGACTAAATTTACTGTAGATTTAGTCGACTAAAATCTTATGATATTTGGTCGACTAAAACTACACAAACTAAAAAAGCCGCAGATGACTAAAATATGACTAAAACTAAATGGCATTTTAGTCAAAAGACTATGACTAAAACTAAATCAAAATTTGCTGTCAAAATTAACACTGTTCCCAGTCACAAATACTGCCGATATGCGCTATTCCCGAATGACACATTCATGGGGATTACCTTCCTTTTCTAAATCACTCCTAAATGTTAAAAACATGTTCAATTTCAGAGCAAATAGAGGCTTTGTAAATGTCACCATGTGTTTTGACTGATTTATAGCTTTAGGTGCTCAGACAGAGAAGTGTATGGGGAAATGAAACGTTTGTGTTGGAGAGTTAATGTGACAGTGTTTGCCTGAGGTGGCCTGCCTGGAACTGCTGCCCTCTAACACACCCGTCCCAACTCAACACTGTGACAACTAGTCCTCTTATGCGGACAATTCAGGACATTTATACACCGTAAAACAGGTCAAAATCTCAAATATCATGATGGTGAAACTACTTTTTGTTGATTTCAACCATCATTTCATTCAAATCCATCTACCTGTTTTTTTTTATCCATAAGTACTCGTTCATCAAAAACACACAGGCACACACCAGATTCACGGTTCAAACTCAAGCGTTAATACAGACATCTGCCAGTCAACACATCAGTCAAGCTCTCATTATACAGTGAACAAGCTTAATGAAGCAGACCCCTAGATTACCAACAAATAAAGTAATTAAGACAAATAAATTAAGCAGAAAATACAGCTTAATTAACACGGGAGACATTTTCATAGCAATAAAAAGCAGTGAGTGAACTCAGAGATTTAGGACCATTTTATAAAAGCAATAAACACTGTGAAGCCGTCGTTTACTGTGAATTTATAACAGTTAAGGGGGTTTTAGGCACTCCACTTCACGTCGTACCTAACAACGCCCCTTAGCCGTTATAAATTAACTGTAAACCACGGCTTCTTAGGGCTTTATTGCTTTATTTGAATGCTTTTGTGTTCCCCGGAGAAAGTAGGTTCACTCGTAAAAACACTGAAACAGAATTTTTCCTGTCACCTAATATTTCCTTCCAAAACAAAAGCAATGTAAGCAAG